TTGACTTTCTTTTTTTTTTTCGTATTTTACAAAACATTTTTTACAAAAAAGGATTCGTCAACGACTCAAGCCTGACAAAAAAGGGTTCGTCGACGACTCAAGCTTGAACTTGATTGACCACTCCTAGGCAAGCGGGTCGTTCGATTTGGTCGTCGACGACTCAAACCTGTTTTTTTTTTTTTTTTTTTTCCTCTTTTTCTTCGGTCGACGAACGATTCAAAGTTGAGTTGAGGTTGTGAGGTGGACCGGTCTTAGGCAGGGACCGGAATCGAACTTGGGTCTTTTTTTTGTTTTTTTTTTTAGTTTTTTCAAGTTAAGGGTCGTGGAACGAGCCCCCTACTGAATCTCACTTCTGTGCCTTATGAGATGAATGGTCTTCCCCCAATGCAGCCAGAATGAGGGTGCGGTCGACGAACGATTTAAGGCTGGGATGAGGTTGTGAGGTGACCGATCTTAGGCAAGGACCGAAATCGAACTTGGTTTTTTTTTTTTTTTTTTTTTTAGCTTTTTCAAGTCGAGGGCCGTGGAACGAAGCCCTTACCGAATCCCACTTTTGTGCCTTGACGTCTACGATTTAGATGTTTTTGTAGATAAGTCAAGTCAAGGGGGTAGAGTGATCACCGAATGCGTGTATAAAAAGTTAGTATGGGTGGGCAAAAAAGAGTGTACAAACCATATAAAAAAAACTCTTGAAAATGCAATATAAAGTCTGGCCTCCACAATGTGTACGGTGTGATAAACACGTCCCAGTGCATCTCGCCTGCTTTCTGAGAGGACTTAGGCTAGAATCCCACATGGCATTTTCAACAAAAATCCCGTAGGAGCAGGAACCATCATGTTCGCGCCATACAAATTTTATCGCATCCCATATGCTCGACCTTCCAGGGACACTGTGGGAACAGTGGCTATATGCGTTGGGGTGCGAGGGATCTGCGGGGTTCCCTTGGTCCGATTTTGTGTCCGACACCTTCGCGCTGCTGTCACCAACGACTTGCGGCCTAGCTCGGTGAGGGAAAATCGTCGTGTCGCTCACCGGCAGGACCACGGACATTCCAACGGTCAAAAAAAAAAAACATCTTTCTGCGCCAACTTTCAGGGCGCTGAGTAGGGGGATGCCTGCTTTTGCGAAACAAGTGTCGTTTCGCGGCAGGTGTCGAGGCCTGATTGACACGATGCGCATAGTGAGTAGAAACAACCGAATTTTGTTTCGGGTCCCGAACGCCCCGGTACATTCTGGGATCCGAATTCGGGCCCGAAAATGGCCTCACTACCAATAGTGAACTTTCGATTCAAGAAATTTGGTGAAGAGCACAGCGCTACCGGGAGCGCTGCCCGTCCGGACTGGGACTGCCTGGCTGATGTGGGGTGCTTTCGCACGCTGGTACAGGCGGCGGGTAGAGGGGCGGTAGGACGACATTGGAGGAGTGGCGCGGTGGCAGGCAATAGCGTGAAGAAAGGTACACCTCCATAGTCGGCTCCTTGCTGCGTGAAGGTTGGCGGGGAGAGGGCCGACCGGTTGCGGAAGGTGGGAAGGATAGGTGCTATGAGGAGGGAAGGCTGCTGCTGCGAGTCAGGGATCGTGTAGTCAGAAGCACATGAGGAGGAAGGTTGTTGCGACGAATCATTGGTCTTCGTTTTCTTCTCCATCTGCGATCCATGTTGTCGCCATGAGGATTGAGCCTAACGATCTGCTCGACTTGTGCTCGCCTAATCTATCGCCCAGAAGGTAAGCCTTCCTAAGTAAGCTATGGTTGTGTGGATGAGGCAACGCCGTGGGCGAAACCCTTCCCTCTTCCTCAACCCCATGTGGCGACTCGTCAACAGGTTTGGCGAGGGGGTGCCACACTGTTTTCGATTTCCAGTAGGAATTGAAGATGGTCGTTCATGTCTTTGGTGTTAGTTTTGCCTTGAGCCTAGAAGCCAGCAGAGGGATGAGGGGAGTCTTTCCTTCCCCAAAGACACAGGGGTAGGGTTTGAGGGGTGGGAGGTAAGCGGTGGGTTGAGGAAGAAGGGATAGGAGGCTGTTTTGTTGATTTGGAATTTAACCCATGCGTGGCTTAAATGTTTTAAATTTGAAATCTACTAATATCCTCATAACCAAGTTTTTTTATCCTGTTGATTTTCCACTGATAATAACTTGTGAGTTCAATTCATGATTCTCGACTGTCGTTTTTTTCTCTAAGCCGTTTGACTGGTATGATCTTGTGCTTGTTTTCACCTGTTTTCGTTTGATGATCAACATATTTTTGCTGATCACTTTTTCGAGAGTCTTTCGATAGTATTTGTTTCTTGATATTTCTTGACTATCGCTCGCAGTGATTTTTCGTGAAATTCCTATTCAAGAGTATGTTCTTTGCCACATAGTTGCTCCCTTTAACAATGATCTTAACTACGATCATGACTATTTTCTTGATTTCATATATTCGTGAGTCCAATATTGGACATCTTAGATAGATTTCTTAAATTTTGTCTTCAAATTTTAATTCCCAAAAAATATTTCAGAGAGATTTCATAATTTCCGTTTCTGATTTTCAATTTTTAAAAGTATGCTTTCGAAGTTTGTTTCTATTCGAGAAAACCTATGTCTGCAAATCTTAACCTCCTGGTCTTGATTACTGTTGCGGTAAACTTGGATTTGGATTGGCTTTTTCTGTTAAATGGTGTTTCAAAGCTTGCCTGGGTCTTTGTACGGTATACTTACGGCTTGCTTTGTGTATCTGTGGGGCTTTCCTTTAGAGTTGGAGCCCCTCCCTGTGGGGGTTTCACAAGGTGGAAGGTGTTATCCTTGGAGGGGGGAGGCCGTATTGAGGGATTTCCTTTTTCTGGGCTAGACTGATTTAGGGTCGGATCA